AGCTCCGCCTCTCTAGAAGCATTCAAGTCAGCAGGAGAAATTGCAACTGCATGTATTAGCATAAGTTAAAGGCCTTTCAAAAGTCTTCACATCAGAGGAACTTTTAGACATTTTTGTCATGTTGCAACTACAAACGTCAGTGTACTTTTTAAAGGAGAGGTGTTGTGTTTTTTTATTTTGTTTGTTTTTTTCCCAGACAGAAAGTAGGGGCTCTCCAATGACCTTCTCGGCTTCTCTCATCATACTTGCATGGCCCTCTCATCTGCTATTGGAACACCATGCTAAAATGCAGTATAGACACATTGCATGTTATTTACATTTGGAAATTTTGCACATGCGCACAATGCTGCAGGGCGTACAATTGCCTTCCACAGAACAACGCTGTTCCGTGGTAGAACAGCAAAATGAAACCAGGAGATGGAAGTGAAGGGGAAAAAACTCAGAAAAACCGTTAAAGAACAATTAAAAAACACTTATTCTTTTTCTTTCGCTCCCTGGGTCGACTTTGCTACACACAGACTAGGATCTGACAACAACACCACAACAGCATCAGGATCCAATCCCCAAAAATACACCAGCATTTCCCACACAAAGAACAAAACATTGAGCCTGTTACAGTTTTATGTTTTCAGATCTTTATTTTGCTATAATTAATTAGTGATTAGTGATGGTTGATTGTTTTTTAATTGAACAGAAACACTGAATTCTGCAGCACATCTACATGTTAAGATTGTAAGAGTCAAGCTAGCTACTGGCATATGTGCATGAGATATTTTGCACATGGAGGCCAGTGATGCTTCAGAAGAAAGTTGAAGAAATGTTCAACCTTTGTTGCTGTCTGCTGCCATTCGTTGCTTCCTGTGTGTCAAACTCATAACGCGCTACTGTGAACTAGGAAACCCCACAGAGGGTTTTTGTCAAAATAGGTAGTTTGATTAATCTGCATCATGTAATATTAACTTGTTAAACCTTTCAGATTAGTCACATGCGTTGACATTGACAGCCCTAATATGGTGGATTGGACATCCAGCACTGATTATGTTCACTATGAGTATTTTGAACCATGAGCCAAACAAAAAAGAAGCTGTGTTGGTTTCCTTATAAAGGTCATTTTACAGTCTTACAGTATTGAAAAGTTTTTTTTTTTTTTTTTTAGTAGATATTCAGGTAAATAAATAAATCAATTTTACAATACGCCTTGATAATCTGACAGAAATCGTCTCTGAAGTGTTTACCTATCCTGTTAAACTAAACAATTTATCACAAATGAAATAAGGCAAGAAGAGTTTAGGATTTATTAAACAATATTTGAAACAATTTCAATTTGATTAATGAATGTAAGAAAAACCCTGGGAACGTGTAATTAATGTAATCAAAAATGTTTTTATTATTAATTACTCTAAAGTCCATTCAAAGAAATAAAAAATAAACAAGTATTAAGAACATGGTTTACATGCTAATGCTAAACTGCTCTAAAACTAACAAGGAATGTTTTGGAACTAATGAGAAGATATTTTCAGCAATTATAAATTTATTGTTGTTGTTTTTTTGTTTTTTTTTTTGTCAGAAATTAGTATGCAGACAAACCATGAGCTGCAGAGGATGTTGTTGATTCTGCATTTAAGTTTGTTTGATGTAGATTATGTCTTACTAGATATTTTATCTATTTTTAAGTTGATGTAAATGTCATGTGTTCACTCACAGAGCAACATTTCTGTATTAGTACAATAACATATCTACTGCATTCTATTCTTTTCTTTTTTTAAATTTCCATTAAGTGAATTTATTTCCAAAATGTCAAGTTACACAATTATATGATCAATGGAAATGCAGCTGGAGTGCAAGAACATGGGTGTGGTCCCGTCATAAGACAATGATTTTGCAATAGAAATGAACGTATGTTGTAGAATGAAACATGCCTTCACATTGTAGCAAAGGGAACTTTTCTTTCAACAATTAGCTTTGGCGGTGGAGTTGAGTCACATAGAAGAGATAACAGAACGTCAAAGTCTGAAACACAAACCTGCACAGTTCACACGGTTCACCACCGACAAGAATCCATTTCAGTGAAGCCGCAGAACCTCCGACACCAGAATTACTGCTTTTTTTCTGCTGGGAAGCCGCATGCACCTCTGCTCTGCCGTTGCCTTTTTACCAAAGTCTACAAAGACCCTGAAAGCCTTTCAACAAGTGAAAAAATAGTCTAAAGTTGTCGTGTTTTTTTTTTTTAAGTTGAATGTGGGAGCGAACTCAGTCGCTTGGTGCCATGCGTCTTGTTCAGACGGAGCAAAGGAGCGTGGGTGACACCACCCTCTGTCACACTGTTTCACTCTTACTCACTCTGTGTCAATATCCCCCCCACAACCACCACCCACTTTCCTCCATCAGTCCCTGACTAAACCAGCGAGTGATGACTTGGTTGACAGCCCCACAAAAAAAGGCCCGTTTTGAAGTTGAAATGCAGAGTGCTTGTCAGGGGTGGCAGAGAAGGGGGCGAGAGGGGAGGGGGGTCTTTGTGAGCATTTGTTCATGTACGCGCTTGTCAAGGCATGATGCATGCTAAAAGTGACATGTGGTGGGCCGAGGGGAGGGGAAGTGGAAGAGATTTTAAAACACTGTGACTGACGGCTTGATTGTCATTCTGCTTTAAACCACAGGCGCTAAGAAAAGCATCTATAATCGAAACTTTCCGTTCTGGAGAACTGAAGTCCCATTTCTAAAGTTTTTTTTTTTTTTAGCGTTAAGAAAATATCAAATATTAAATCCATAACCAAGTACAGGCATAAACAGATATGGTGACATTAAGAATAAGAATGATTTCTTTCCCCCTTTTTTAATAAATGTGATTATTGTTCAATTCCAGCGTTTAGTGACAACTAAACACTGTGCTTCTATCAACCATACAATTGCACAATTTGTGATATCAAAAATATATTTGCTTAATGGAAACACAGCAATTTTGAAAAAAAAATCATCTTTTTTGATTGAATATTTTGGAGCTGGTTTGGGTTTTGGCCCTTTCAAAATAGATGTTTCAAAAGTTGAAAATTTGTAACTTTTCAGATAATTCCTTGTTTTTTTCTAGAGATTTTTGGCATACATTTGCTCCCCCTTTTTTTCTATCTACAGTTACCCTATTATGCCGTCATGAGTAAGACATAGTTACACATTTCATCAATACCACTTATTTCTCATATAACATGTAAAAGCAGTCAGCAAAGTGAATAATGTGCTGCTGCAGCTCAAGTCACAAAGTGGGAAAGAACAGTGCTCAGGGGGATTAAAAGCCTTGAAAAGGGCACTCATCCATCCAACCAGCAATCCATCCTTCCATGCAGTTTGCCAGCCAAAGGGTCCTTGAAGCCGCTCGCCAGCTCGTCATCCCTCCATCCGTTCTGGCCCAAGCTCCAAAAAGTAATTGGACTGTTCATGTAAGTGTCCCGATCACAGAAGCAGACAAACACGGCCCGTTCCTCTGCCTTTTGCTCTCCGTCTTTGTCTTTTTTTTCTTTTATCACTGCTTTGCACTTCCCTCTCTCTCTCTCTGCCACTCCGGCAGAGCCAGCAGTCGGGATCTGTGGTACAGTCTTGGACAGAAACATTAACCCTTGTTCCAATGGAAAAATGTGTTAGTGTCCTTCCCAACAGCATTTTTGTGTGTGTATGTGTGTGTGTCTTTTTGAGATTTGAATGCGTTGAAGAAACGGATGTAATATCACAAAAAACATTTGTCTCAACGGATAAACGTGGAGCTGTACACTTGGATGGATTTAATGTCTACTTGAGCCTGACTCTGAGTGTGGCCTGATGTGTGTGTGAAAGACTTTCATCAGCTTTTATTGCTCCATAAACACGCCTCTGGATGGTGGATGAAGGGCTGTGGTAACATTGTTCATTTGTGGTGATATGATCCATGAAAGTGTAGGACTACTGTAATGCAGATAAAAATTTATGATGGACACTGTTCGTACATCAGCATTCAATTATTCTCTGATGTAATCGTATAAGAGCACAGCGACCCAAGAGCATGAAGCTTCCAATTAGTTTGTTGTTCATCTTGAAAAGCACAAAAGAAAGAAATGGGACATTTTTAACCCGAAGCAGTTATACTAAATAAATAATAATCACTGCTAAAAATCCAGCTTATGAGATGAAACCATAGTATGATATAAACACATTACATGTTTATTGCATGTTATTTCACATATACGCCCAATGCTGTAGGACAAAAAGATGATTCTTTTACTTGCCGTCCACAGCCATGTAGCCCTGGTGCAATTCTGTTACCAGAATGAAAGCTGGAGATATAAGAGTTGTTAATGTGGTGCGATGTGCCACAGCAGAGGGAAAACGAATGCAGAAAAACAGCTGAATAACAAGTCAAAACTACTCATACTCTTCTTTTTTCTCACTCTGTCGGCTACACTACACACACACCTGTTGCCATAGCAACTCACTGACAACAGTTCCACTGGTGTATCAGGATTCAACACCGAAAAACATGCAAACATTTCCAGCACAAAGAACGAAAAATTCAGTCCGTTAAAGTTTCATGATGTCAGGCTTGATGTATTTTTTGATTATTAATCAGTGACTGTCTGAACACAGCGACGTTAGATGAGCTAATTTAAACACCTGCTCTACTGATGACCTGTCAGAGAGTTGGTGTGTGGGTCGTCTTTGTTTTTTGTTTTTTTACTGAACAAAAAACAGGATTCCACAGCATTTCTACAATCAAGTTAGCAAAGCTGACCTAGTGTCCTGTCTGCTGCTTTTTCTTTTAAAATAAAGCTTTTTCCTGATGTGTTAAATATGATCGTGCTACAGTTGTCACAGTGTTGACAATTAGTAGCAAAGCATTGCATCTCTTTTTCTTTTTTATATTGAGCGTGCACTTAAGATTTAGAACATCATGTTGATAAATTAACAAATTTAACCATTGGTTAATCAGTTACCCTTTTGTGTGTTCACTTGTTGTTTTGCAGGCAGGGGTGCTGCCAGGAATCTTGGGCCCCCTGACAAAAAATTAAATTGGGCCCCCTGCCCCGCGCAGCTGCTGTTACAATTTCTTGAGTCTATCTGACCCATCAAAAGCGTCACAATCTCAAAGGCTTGGAACTGCCTTGCTTTCTTGTTTATTGATACTGATAACTAGTACAATGTTTACTGCTCATGAATTTAACATCCAACAGTCCACATCCAGTATGCAAGTAGGTTGCTTAAATTTTTTCTATTAGTTTTAGATACTGAAATGTCTCTCCCATGAGCAACAGTCAAAAGCAATGTGCAACTACACATAAAGTAATCCAGACTTCTAAAAATGCTATGTAGTTGCATTTTATTCAAGCTGCAGTACAGAACTTTAATAAAAAATATGTTTTCTCCATATTTCACAATGTCATAGCAGTTTGTTATGAGACAGATAATCTGTGAAAACAATCAATCTCCTCCATCTCCTTCCTGAATTACTGGTTAAAGTAATGCTCCATTCTGACCAGAACAACCAATCAGAACTAGCAGGACGCTCTTAGCGCTGTCAATTAGCCTCATTCACTCACTGCTAAATGTGCTGATGGTGCAGAAACAACTTATTGAAAAACTCATGAAGAAAACATGGGTTATAAATTAACACTCTTGCCTTTTTCTCTCTCTCCCTCTCTATTTTGTTTTTGAAAACCTGATTCTATAACTTTTCTTAGCAGCATAGTAACTGCTACAGTCGTTCATGTCTTCCACTGTCTGCTGCTAACAGCGTCACTCTCAGGCGCTCCAAGCAGGAACGAACCATTTAACGCAGACAGGGGGGTCAGGGCAAATATGGATGTGTGTTTTTTGATCTGGGAGTGGGAACATTAAATTTTTACTGCTAAAAACAATCTTTGAAAATACAATATGGTTAATTTTGTAATTGTCAGGGCCCCTATGAACAAAACATAAATAATTAAATTGTGGAGGGCCCCCCTGTTGGTCAG